AAAAAAAAAAAAAAAAAACCAACAATACATGGCCGTAACTTTGAAAGTCACCCCTCCACTGTGACTTCCCAGACCCAGAAGCGAGTTCCTTTCCTATCAATTCTTCAGCGCTATTTCCCTCTCTGTCTACCCCAGGGCACGGAAATGGCACGGGCAGAGTGTCTGTTCCTACTGTGGGCTCACACTTAGCGTGAAAAGCCTTGAAAGAATTTGATGGCAGCTTGGGCTGGACCTGGAATACGTCCAGGTAAGCCTCTGGAGTACTTGCATTTGGACAACTGCTCTCCTCATTCCTGAACCGACCTGTAACGAACTCTGAACTCTCAATGCCAAGCTCTGCGCTAAAGTTGACTTGCGTGACCTCGTTTAAACCCAACAAAGACTCCGTGAAGTTGGTACTGCGATTATGTCCGTTTTAATGTTAAGCGAAGCCGGGGGAATTAACTAGAACCCACATTACTGCCCTCTCTGCCACAGTGTCTCCCAGTTACGAAAGGCTGCGAGCTTTGTTCTCTTCAGAGATGAAAGTACCTTGAGGGGTGGGGACCAAGCCTTAAAGTTCTGTGCCAAGTTTACAGTTCAGTTCTCACTACCAGACTGGCGTTTCAGAAATGCCGAGACCCGTCCACTTCTCAACGAGAATCTATCCAGAGCACGTCTCTATTTAGAGCCTCCTGGGTTTTCTTTTTTTTTTTTTTTTAATTTTTTTTTTCAACGTTTATTTATTTTGGGGACAGAGAGAGACAGAGCATGAACGGGGGAGGGGCAGAGAGAGGGAGCCACAGAATTGGAAACAGCCTCCAGGCTCCGAGCCATCAGCCCAGAGCCCGACGCGGGGCTCGAACTCCCGGACCGCGAGATCGTGACCTGGTTGAAGTCGGACTCTTAACCGACTGCGCCACCCAGGCGCCCCTGGGTTTTCAATGTAGTATCGAACCCTACGGGATAGACAAAGGAAGTACACAATCTCTTTGAGGGAGGTTAGTCCATAAGAAACAGAAAAATCAATTAAGTGTTAAACTAAACATAAACATTTCAGAGGTCCAGAGGGGAGATCGGGACATCACGCCGAGGTGATGGGATTTGAACTGGCCCTTGAAGAATGAGCTCATGTCAAGAGGTGGAGAGGGAGGAGAGGGCCCAAGTGTGGGAGGAAAGTCTTGGGGGAAGAAAATGGGGAGGTGGCCTGTAACGACATAATACATACACTGTAAGTCCTTTTCCCCATCAAGGCTGGGAATTCTAGAAGCCTCACAGAGTCTCTCTCCCCTTGATAAAACAAATACTTCTTAGCTCATCAAATAGATTTTTCTTAAAAGCCTGGGGTAGGAGTCCAAGGACCCACGTACGGTGTGTCCCGGAGGCAGGAGGACTGCTTCTGGGCAGTTCTTGCT